TTTTCAGTCACGAGGTGTTCATACAGTTTATGAAAATAGGAAAGATATGATTGAAGTTATGGACAATATAGAAAGTACTTCACGCGATTCTTCGTCGATTAGTCAAGCCAGTGGGTACAAATTAAAGCTGCAAGATACAAATTTTGTATTTTGGCTAAGTATATTCCATAAAATAATGCCACATGTTGAAATTGTCTTTAACCAATTACAAAAAGTATGCACCGATTCTGTTAAGGTCAAAAATGATTTAGAGAATTTTGAAGCAGCAATTCAAACTATACGAGAACAAATGGATAGCATTATTGACGAGATTGAACGAGTGCAGAGAGAAACTGATGAACCGGCAAGAAAAAAAAGGCAAGTTGAAGAAGGCAGCAAAAAACGGGAAGCGTTAGAAATATGCGATGCAGTATTATCGCAAATAAGAACAAGATTTAACTTTTCTGGGCATTTAGTTGCTTCTAATTTATTTGTGTCTGAAAAGTTTTCTGTTTATAAACATCAGTTTCCTGAAGCACATTTAAATGACACATGCACACAATTTTCATTTTTAGACAAAAACAGGCTTAAAACTGAGTTACAAGTATTATATCAGAGAGAAGAATTGAGTACTACTTCTGGAGCTGTTCCACTATCCATTTTATTGAACGAGGAAGGATTAAATTGTACGTTTCAAGAAACTCTTAAGCTCTTAAGTATTTTAATCACTATACCGATGTCAACATCTGAAGCAGAACGCTCTTTTTCAATGCTGAAACGGATTAAAACTTTCCTCAGAAACACAATGAAGGAAGAAAGGCTTAGTGCTTTAGGAATGCTGTCTGCAGAAAAACATTTTGTTAGTGGCATTGAAAATTTTAATAATAAGGTAATCGAAAACTTTGCTACCAAAAAAGAAAGAAGAATGGACTTCATGTATAGAAAACTTTGAAGTTATAGGTACTTCTCCACACTTGTTTTATAATTTGGTGCGCGTGTGTAAATAGTTTTATTTTTGATTTTTTTTTTGGACATATAGATTTATTGAACCTCAAGAACTTTGACCACTAACTATCAGGGGTAAGTTATAAGTTATTCTTTACAATTTTGAATCGATTCAAAATTATGGCTTCCATTCTGGCACTACCTCACTGAATTGGCACGAGCCGCCACTGCCCTAAGGGCGCTACGGTTATTTAAAGGGGCTCCCCTGAAGATGGTTTTTCCTTAATATTTACGAAACGTGTTGAGATAAAGACATAAAATTTGGTATTCTAGCCTAGTTTTTTTTGCTGGATTTAAAAATGTTAACAATTCTAGACAGTTTTGTTTGGAAGCGTATGCAACAGGGACGGACTCAGGTTATTTTAGCCCCAAAATTTTTGTGTGATTATATTTTTGAAATTCAATTTTAGAATTTGAAAATTTAGGGTTTTCTACATAAAAAAGGTACTCTTATTGAATATCGATAAAGTGTGCCATTTTTGAATAAAATCAAACTAAAAAATATGTCACAATGTAGGAAATGTACTGCGAATTTAAGTGCTCTGTGGAGTGACGCTGTTGGAAAGAGAATTTCGAGGTCCACAACTCATAGAGTTTTCTTATAAAAAAAAGTGAAGTAAAAACCCTAAAGTTGTACAACTTGTTTATAGGCCAAAGAAAAGCCACTATTAACTCCACTGCAAAAGAAAAATCGGCTTAGATGGGCTAAAGAACATAGACAATGGACACCTCAACAATGGTGTGCAATACAATGGAGTGATGAGGCCCGATTCGAAGTTTGTGTTGGTGACAGTCGCAATAGAGTTATTCGCAAAAAAAATTAAGCATTCCATGTTGACTGTCTGAAGAGAAAAGCGAAATTTCCAGCATCCGTTATGGTCTGGGGCAGTATGTCGTCAAAAGGAGTAGGAAAAATTCATTTTATTGATGGAAATGTGGATACAAACAAATATTTGACAATTTTAGAAGAATCGCTTTTACTAGTGAATGAAGAATGTTTGACATCCGGCCAAGATTTTGTGTTTCAGCAAGGTGTTGCAGCGTGCCATACCTCAAAAAAGGCTAGAAAATGGATGGAAGAAAATAAGGTACCACTTCTGAAATGGTTTCTAGCAGTCCAGATCTGTCACCTATTGAAACTTTGTGGCACGAGATGCAAAAGGTTCTACGACAACATCCTGCTCGTACAATCACCGAACTGAGATAAAAGCTTCAAGAAATATGGGATTGTTTTACACCACATTTTTGCCAAAACTTGGTTAACACTATGCCCCAAAGAATTTCAGCCGTAATAAAAAATAAAGGTGATGTTACCCAATGGTAATCTTTCAATTGTTGCTTTGTTAACTTCGCGCATTTATTCGCACATTGTTTATTTGTTCAGATGTTCTATTAGTTATAGGTCTAAGTGATTTCAAATATGTATTTTGTACGACTAGAGTGTATCTAAAATGTTTTTGAGAAAATAAATTGTTTTAGAAGTAAATGGTTTCGTCATGTTTAGATTATAAAGGCATATTTTGGTATAAATCTTGAAGTGGACCAACAAGTGGGAAGGGGCTCGTAGTCCCGATCTAAGTCCTAACGATTTATTTACTTTCCCGAAAATTTAAAACAGGCTGCGTGGTCACAGGTTCCAGTCACCAGAAGAAGTTGACGCATTCAAAAATGCCGTTTGGGATCTGCCAGCAAACGAGTGGAATAAGTGCTTCGAAAATTGGTTCGAGCGCATGCAGATGTGTATTAATATCCGTGAAGAATACTTCGAAAAACAATAAAGTCATTTAAAACTACCTACCGTGTTATTTTATTTCCATATGCAAAACTTAAAAGACCTACTACCTACCTACTTTCTGGGCGTACATATCCGATGTGCATATCCCTCAAAATAAAAATAGCTGTCTTCAGTTTTTCAGTCAAGTCAATAGGCCAGGGAAGTACTGTAATCGCGAAAAAACTTCAAATGGAGAAATAATTTTCAGATATAACATAGTAGGTACATTTTTTGGGGCGTTCGTCAAGTAGTCTTTGGACTTCTATTACAGCCAGAAAAATATTTATAGATTTTGTTGATTGGTCCTGTTGCGATAGAGATATCGTCAAAAAACTAATTGATCATTGGTCCGTCTACAACTTGGTAAATATCACTGGATTTTGAAGAAATTTTGAAAGACCTGTCTGATGGTACCAGATCAAAAAATCTAATACTCCCCAAACTTGATTTTCACTTTTCTTCGTTTCTGATAATTTTGAACGCATTTAAAAATTTCCTTAATGGAGACAAAATTCAGAATTAAGTCACAATTTGTTTGTTGATATAAAGTGCATAAGAGTAAATATGAAATAGTTAGAAATTAAAAAAGGTAGAGACTTTGTAGTGATAACAAAAATCTCAATTCTCAAGCTATCCAGTGACATAACTGCTGCAGCAAATTAGGTGAGTTTTTAGTATTTAATTGGACAATATCTCCATTATTACAAGACGTATTGAATATTATTGATACCGACATGCAAAAACAATGTTCTTTTTTAATGAAACATCGTACATCTTCTATTACATTCTAATATGCCACTTCAAGGGAAGAAGTTTTGATAAAGCCAGGTTTATAGCATATTATACTAAAATAATTTTTCTTTGTTGATATTTAGTCTTTGTTTTTCTAAAATTACCTGAAATTTCATCATATACTCAAAAATAGTTTAATAGAATATGTGCCTATAAGTTTGTTCTAGAATGATTTGAGAAACAAATTTGTTATATTCTCATCATTGTGATCTCCAAAACGGTAACAAATACGGGCGGTTGAATGGTGGTATTTAGATATTTTAGAAAATGCTGTTGAAAAGTTTTGACCCTTCCAGTATCTCCGGAGATACACGGAAAAGCTGAAGAATTTTACCCAAAATCGTTCATATTTTTTTCTGAATTTATTTGAGCTAGTATCTCAAAATAAACTGCACATTGACATCGCCACTTTTTGATCTCTGTAAGGTGGCATAAATCGAATTAATATGATGTTTCGTCTCTTATCCTCTATCTCAACTTTGATTTTTCTTATGTTCCATATTTATGCTATTTTTGCATGGGCGAATAGCTTTCACTTCTGAGTAAGCCTTGATAATTATCATTAGTCATTCATTTCATAAAATATCAAAGATGATAACATATTACGCATTGATATTGTACCGTTTTTCTGGGTTCTTTTGGGTGTGTATTAAAACACTGGATTCCACAAAAAGAAATGCACTAATTTATTTAATTTGACTAGTTAGAACATTTATGTACACCACTATTTATGTGTGACTACTTATTTACCAATTACTATGTCATGCCATTCACTGAACTCTCTACTCTACTCTCGGCTGTGCCTATATAGTCCACATCACAATACTCGTTGAGTCGAGAAGATTCCGGTGAGCCACAGCGGCAGTCTAGACTGTTCGAGGTCACTTCACGACGATCTAGAAGGCGAGTCACTGGCACGGTCCTTAACAGATGTCGCCACCGAAGGAGAGTCTCTGGAACGCTCCCAGACACAGATCGGCCATGGAGCTCTGGCGAGTAGGCGAGTCTGGCGCGGTCGCCAACAGATGGTGCCAACAGTACTATTCATTCTTATTACACTGCGCCCTCCCTAAAGTCCTGTCGTCTCGGAATGATCTTACTGGTGGTGGATGTCGATATCAGCACGACTGCCCTTTCTTGCAGTAGGAGTTCTTGAAGAAGTAACAATCCACACCCTTTCCAGGAAGTAGCCGTCTAGGACTGTGTACAACACACCAGAAATCGAATACCTGATACCGGAAGACTACCTCAAGCATGCTTCGGATGATTCTCCAGTCCAGGTTGTCCAGTCCACATGCCAGCTTAGGTATTGCCAGTTTGCTCAGGTCCTCGGCAAGCAACACTTCTCTAAGAGAACAAAAAGCATTCCAGACATCCTCGTAATTCGGTTTCTGATACGAAGCTTTCTTGGTAACCAGATAGATGATCTTTCGGTTGGTACCCTCTTCAGTTATCTGGAGTACTTCTCCGACTTCCGGGTTAGATGTCGCAGCTCGTGCACTCCTCCAAACTTCCAAAGAAATACCTTTGCTATATCTCTCGACATTCGCAAGTCTTGAGCCACACAGTGTGCCAGGGCATACTCTGGTGAAGTGGTAAACAGATCTTGCTGTACTTCACATGTCACGCCATACCGGCTCTTATGGCCATGGTAGTCCTTGTCTTCTTAATCCCAAGGATTTGACAGATACTTTGGAACAGATTTGACTCGAAATTGCGCCCTTGGTCCGAATGCAACTCTAAAGGTACACCAGATCGACAGATCCATTCCTTTACTAAAGCATCGGCTACCGTAGAGGATTTGGCAGAGCGTATGCCTCAACCCACTTGCTGAAGTAATCCATTACCGCAATGATGTATTTATTCCCTGCTTCACTTTCTGGAAAGGGTACATCGAAGTTTTTGGTTTCCTTTGCGGTCCATTACTTGCCGCACACACAACGCATTTTCTGCACCAGTATTTCACGTCCTCCTTGCTATTGACCCAGTAAAATCTTTGCCTCACTTTTCCCAGAGTTTTTGTAACTCGGAGATGACCTTCTGAGACACCGGTATGGATTTCTTCTAGCAGCTCCGGGATCCGACATCTGGGGATAAAGATTTGTCTTCTTTAGTTGAGTATGGTAAACGTGTTCTAAATGTGACTGGCCGTATCGCATCTCCAAATGTCCTACGAGTACTATCTGTTCGTAGACCTCTTCGGGTGATATTATTTGAAGAATAGCTGCAGCATCTCCTTGCAGGGTCAAAGTGAGTGCAGTTGCCTTTTCGGTCGATGACCAACCATTCGCGGCTGCCTCAAACTGACGTCGGTATACATCCCAAGACGTTGTACCATCAAATTGCGGCGGTTTCATTCGAAGATGACCAGCTGACCCAACAGAAGCTCCAACCTCACATGCTTTTGCCAACGGAAGTCCACACTGTCGTTCGCCGATGGTCTTGACGTCTTCTTGAATTCCGTCCTCCAATGTTTCTAAAATCCGTTTTTCCAACTCGCCACATTTTTCCATAATTTCATCTTCCATTTCTTTTTTAAATTGGCAGAATTTTCCAAAAACTTCTCTTCTAATTTGGCTGTACTTGCCAAGAGTTTTCCTTCTAGGTTGGCACAATTTCCCACGATCTTTCCTTCTAAGTTGGCACAATTTTCCACGAGCGTATTTTCTAGCTTGGCTGACTTTTCTAAAAGATCGGCACAATTTTCCACGAGTTTTCTTTCTAGGTTGGCACAATTTTCCACGAGCCTATTTTCTAATTTGACTGAGTTTTCTTAAAGATCGGCACAATTTTCCATGATCTTGTTTTCTAACTTGGTCGAAAGGTTTTGAAGAATTAAACCAATATCCCCTTCACCGGTAAAAATAAAAGTATCCGGGTCCTCGCCTTCCTCAATCAGTGCTTGACGAAGACGCTCCTGTAATTCCGCTTTCTTTCCAGCCGTGTCGCACTTTCTTTCCTCCAGCTCTCTTTTTAAATCGGCAATATATTTATCATAAGATGTGATATTTATTGACCGTGTAGTTACGCAGATATCCACTGATGGTACGGACCACAGTAATTACTAATTATGTGATATTCACTTTACCGTTGCCGAGATCCCAAAGGCGAGGTTCAAATTTGAAACTCATATAGGGTGATTCACAAGTCATGACCAAAAATGAAACTCATACACAGTGCCGCATTTTAAGGGGAACTTCTACACGTATGTAACATTTTTTCCTCGAGGGTTTCATTAAAAGGATACGGCGTGTTGACGCTTAAAAATAAAAAACAATTTTTTTAATAACTTCAAAACAGTCAACTGGAATGAACTAAAATTTATGTCGATTTACCTAAGTATTGTCCACATTCAAATGTCTTTACTTAAAATTAACGTGCACCACTGGCGGAGATACAATTGATTAGTGGCATTATTTCTCCAAATAAAAATAGTACGCCAATTTTCTACAAATAATTATATTCATGTGTTTTTTCTTAGAGTGCACTGTTTTCGTAAAAATAAAAAGAATTAGATCATTCATGAAGAGCCGAGATACAATTTTCAAAATACAATAGGATGCCTTGATACCAACTTAACGTTTCATGGGAGATAGTTTGTCAAAGTTATGTGTTGTTGTTACTACTACCATTTTTTTTTGTAAAAGTAAAAGTTAAAATTTTTTTTCCATTTTTGAATGTTATGAAATGGAATTTAGCAATGATGAGTTCACCGATATTATGTTCTAAGACTTCGGAAATATGGAATTGTCAAACTTTCCGCAGTTAGAGGCCGTGGTGTCAGGCACACTGTTCAAGAGGAACTGGAAAGGATTAATTTGGCGGTGGATGGTCCTAGTACAAGTACTATAGGCGGATTGCAGCCTAGTTACCATGTTCCTAAAATCTTGCGTGGAGACTTTTAAATCGGGAAGTTTAACATCCTTACCATCGGCAAAATGTGCAATCTCTGCAACCCGGCGTCGAAGTACAATGGAGAAATTTTTGTGATTGGTTACTGCAAATGCATAATCAAAATGCAGATTTTATTGATTTAGTTTTTTGGTCAGATAGATCGCTTTTTACGAGGAGTGGAACCTTTAATTCTCATGATGAACATATTTATGGTCGTTAGAAAATCCCCGTTCTGTAATAATGCACTCGTTTCAACACAGATTTTCTAGAAATTTCTGGTGCGGCATTTTCAATGGCCAACTGTTTATGTACGTATTACCACAACGTTTAAATGCAAACTCATACTTGGATTTTCTAGAGAATTACATATAAAATGTGTTAGATGATGTTCCGTTAGCAACGAGAGTACGTAGCAGCACGTCGGTGCCCTACAGCATGTTCGGCGTGACAGAACCGCATGGTTAAATAATCATTTTAGACAACGATGGGTTGGCAGAAACTGACCCGTACATTGGCTTGCGAGGTCTCCTGATTTGAACCCTCTGGATTTCTTTTTGTTAGGCACTTTTAAACAACTAGTGTATGCTGAACAAATTAATATCTACTGTTGATCAGTTACGAGAAAGAATAGATAATGCTCTTCATCAAATTCAAGCCACTACAAATTTTGCGGAAATACGTTTTTCTTTATTAAAAAGATGCCGAACTTGTATCCGTCAAAATGGTGGTCTTTTTGAACATTTATTGAAATAAAGCTTTGATTATCTTATTTTTTTATTTTTACGAAAACAAGCACTCTTGGAAAAAACACAAGAGTAATTATTTGTAGCAAATTTAAGGTACACCGCCACCAGCAGGCAGGTTCGTCTAGACGAGCCATCAAAGAAGCCCCCCGTCACCGTTATGACATGACTATAAGTTTGTCGTGTACTATAAATCTTCGCGTCCAAGTAACGTCAGAGTCGAAATCTAGATTTACTCATAGTGGCTTTGAAAATGTTGACTTACCCTTGAAGGTCGTAGTCAAGGTCATTACTAAGATGATATTCGAACGTAAGATTTCCTCCTCTTTTCAATGCTGATAAAAAATGGTAGATTCCATTGTCAAGGTCACCTCATTTTTCCCTCGAAAACCTACAACTTTCGTCTGAAGCTTTTTTCCAGAATGCAATTTCCCGAATATTAATATAAAAAAATATTTTTTTAAATTACTGATTAGTCAGTAAGGTAATGTTGAAAAAATAAGAAAACAGTTTTATTGTTCATTTTATTCAAGTTTACAAAATAACAAAATTCAATAAATAATGGCCTTAGAGACCTGTAATTTACAAATACGCCTATTACACATTTATGATCCGTGTCCATCACAACATAGAATAGTTTAAAACTATTCAAATATAAAAAACAGACGTGGAAAAAGATTGCAACTTAAAAAGGCAAGGTGCTATAAAAAATTAACCAAAATGTGAAAAAGATTTGATGTGACAAAAACATTAACTAAAATTTCGATAAGATAGCGCCAGTTTATATAAAACCAAAGAGTAAAAATGTTTTTTCAATAATCATTACGGCTTTGCCCAAACAGTATAAGTATACAAGTATAAGACGTATATACATATTGCACTTTCTTAAATACACGTCCTTCAGTATGTTGCATGAATAAATATTAGACGTTTAACATTGAAATATTTAGATCAATAATCTCACATCAACTATAAATAAAAATAGAGACAAAATTAACAAAGTTGTTAACATCTATTTTTAATAAAATAATAAATTCAAGACATGATAATCGATTAAACTACAGCTAGACCCTGTTCTACTACAAATACTGCCATGGATATCACTAACCCAAAGAACATAGAGAGTGTTTTAATACATACAATTTTCATTATCAATTTTTCGAATCTGAAAAGTTCTGTGACATGACATTACAAAAATGCTGACCTCAAGTATAGTACTGCAATTACTGTCGTCACTGATTAACATACTCTACATGAAGATAGCCAACCATAGGCTGTATTAAGGCGCCGATCCGAGAGATACTAACGCCATCTACGAGACAGTAGCAGAACACAAAAATTAATTTATAAATCTACTTTGAAAGGAATTAGAGTATTGGGTTCTGCTACTGTGTCTAACATGGTGTTAGTTTTTTAATCACATTTTCAGGTGGAATACGTTTACACTTTTACTACCGACGGCGACGGCCTCTATAGTGGCCCATTGGTTCACCTTCCATGGACCGCGGCCATTATACTGGCCGCAACTTATTCTCAAGCGCTATAAATTATGCCGGGGCGCAGATGGTCACATGTGTGCTGTTTTCGGGCTATAAGGAATTTTGTGAAGCGCGCATGGTCAGTGAAGTGGCCTCTGGTTCATTATATATTGGCTTGTTTACAGTCGCGCACGTTTATTTCTTGTGCTAGTTTCAGTAGTTTCCAACGCAAAATAATTCGTTTTACTGTGTTAACGTTGTTTTTATTTATCAGTGTTAATAAATCAAATGTAGAAAGGTATAAATCAATTTAATTCATTGTTGTTTATTTTTTTGAGGTTATGTATGTTAGGGTCGAAAAAGAGGGCAAACCCAGACTTACGACGTCCGTTGACTCAAGCTGAACTAGAAGAGATAGTTCTAGCGATGCC